AGCTGGTGGATCCGACGAAGGAGCGGCAAGCACATGTGACGTCCACGGTGAAAGCTGATCCGGCGATCCACAGCACTAATTTGATGTATTCCCTCAGCGACCAGCACAGATCAGCTCCAGGCATGACGAAGCGGATATCGTCCTCTTTTGGAAGGCCAAACAAAGTAGTTTCGCTTTCACAACGAAGCACACAGCGTCTTCAGGACATGGCTGCAGCGTCAACAATACTACAGCGAGAATAAAAGTTACGCCTTCTTTCTTTGCGTGAACATTTGGGCGGTGTTATGCAAATCTTCCCACATAGTGAGGTAGACATGTGGGGGCGTGTTAGAACGAGGCGTTTTAGGGGGGCGTGGTTGACTCTTAAATTTTATAAAGAATATCTCTTTGGATTTGAGACTTTAGTCTTTGCAACTTTACAGATCTTCTTTATGCACCAAGAGCTTGTAACACTCCAAAGAGAAAGGAACAATTTAAATCGCATCATATGAGCCCTTTAATTCAGCCAGTCTGGTTATCATGTCGAAAATAATAATAGTTGTTTAAATTAAATTTATCAAAAAGTTATCAAATTATGTAAAAATATCTCCACAAATTATTTGAAAATACTCATTACTAAATGTTTATTCAGTCCAGCACATTGCATTGTGCTCTGTTGCATACTGCTCATGCAAATGTGTTGTGGTTTTGCCTATAGAAAATTGTATGCTGTGCACAGAATGCATATTATAACAGCAAAAGTATTAAAAGTAGCATGCTTTTCTAAACATACGTAGTCTCCCTCTCAAAATCCAGTAGATGATATTAAAGATCTAGTTCTTCATTGCCATAGCAACAAGAAGAGTCTAGTCTATTATTTGCCGATTTAGGCTATTGAGTGCCACAGTCAGGTTCTGGAAATAAAAATCCCATTCATTTATTTTTAACAGTGACTTTTGAAGACCGATCTACTGGAAGCTGCGAGATTGTCAATCGATTGGATATGCTGTCGTTAAAGCCGTCAGCCAGTGTTATTTAAACTGTTTTATTATATAATCATGTTTAATAGTAGAATTCCTGTTGAAAAATGACATTATCCATGATTCCGAAGACAAATCTCTTCAAACACTTCATGCATATTTTAAAATACATGTGAAATATATTGTTTCTATATGTAATCATCATCTTTAAACCAATAGTTTTATATTACTCCATCATGTGAATAGTAATCAGATACAGTTACTGAGCAAAAATGTGTAATTAAATTACAGTTACTGTACAGTGAAAATGTTAACGGTTACAAAGTAGGTTACATCTGAATTTTTTTCACATGCAGATTTAATTGATTTCTTTCATAAGTTGCAATGACTGCAAAATATAAGGGACCAATGTTTTAGGAGTTTATTACACAGATGTGTACTAAATGACTGTTTTATTTCCTATTTGGGTTTATGCATATGCTTTATTTTTCCAAGGCATTGTTAGATTCCAGTGTTTCCTGTTGTAGCTATTTCAAAAACAGTATCATAGCTATTAAACTATTTCTCGTTATGGTTTTAAATCTGTATTTAACCTCAGAATGATCTCAAAGTAAGTCTGATTTTGAGGTTGGCTGTACTTTAAAATTAAATGATTATGATCTTAGTTCAAATGATGAAGGATTTTGAAACCAGATCACAATCCTCTCACCTATTACCAATTCACCAGCTTATTGTGGACTGTTTCAAAACAGTTTAAATTGGATATTCTATAACCTTCTCACTTTTATTTTGCCTCTGTCCAACATCATATGAGCCCTTTAATTCAGCCAGTCTGGTTATCATGTCGAAAATAATAATAGTTGTTTAAATTAAATTTATCAAAAAGTTATCAAATTATGTAAAAATATCTCCACAAATGATTTGAAAATACTCATTACTAAATGTTTATTCAGTCCAGCACATTGCATTGTGCTCTGTTGCATACTGCTCATGCAAATGTGTTGTGGTTTTGCCTATAGAAAATTGTATGCTGTGCACAGAATGCATATTATAACAGCAAAAGTATTAAAAGTAGCATGCTTTTCTAAACATACGTAGTCTCCCTCTCAAAATCCAGTAGATGATATTAAAGATCTAGTTCTTCATTGCCATAGCAACAAGAAGAGTCTAGTCTATTATTTGCCGATTTAGGCTATTGAGTGCCACAGTCAGGTTCTGGAAATAAAAATCCCATTCATTTATTTTTAACAGTGACTTTTGAAGACCGATCTACTGGAAGCTGCGAGATTGTCAATCGATTGGATATGCTGTCGTTAAAGCCGTCAGCCAGTGTTATTTAAACTGTTTTATTATATAATCATGTTTAATAGTAGAATTCCTGTTGAAAAATGACATTATCCATGATTCCGAAGACAAATCTCTTCAAACACTTCATGCATATTTTAAAATACATGTGAAATATATTGTTTCTATATGTAATCATCATCTTTAAACCAATAGTTTTATATTACTCCATCATGTGAATAGTAATCAGATACAGTTACTGAGCAAAAATGTGTAATTAAATTACAGTTACTGTACAGTGAAAATGTTAACGGTTACAAAGTAGGTTACATCTGAATTTTTTTCACATGCAGATTTAATTGATTTCTTTCATAAGTTGCAATGACTGCAAAATATAAGGGACCAATGTTTTAGGAGTTTATTACACAGATGTGTACTAAATGACTGTTTTATTTCCTATTTGGGTTTATGCATATGCTTTATTTTTCCAAGGCATTGTTAGATTCCAGTGTTTCCTGTTGTAGCTATTTCAAAAACAGTATCATAGCTATTAAACTATTTCTCGTTATGGTTTTAAATCTGTATTTAACCTCAGAATGATCTCAAAGTAAGTCTGATTTTGAGGTTGGCTGTACTTTAAAATTAAATGATTATGATCTTAGTTCAAATGATGAAGGATTTTGAAACCAGATCACAATCCTCTCACCTATTACCAATTCACCAGCTTATTGTGGACTGTTTCAAAACAGTTTAAATTGGATATTCTATAACCTTCTCACTTTTATTTTGCCTCTGTCCAAACTTTTGGAGTGTGTTGCAGCCATCAAAATCAAAATCTGTTTATATTTAAATTGGTCAGAATTTGAAAATGATTGAAAACATTAGAAATTTAGAAACTTATCAAAAAGTTATCAAATGTAATCGGTTACATTACTTAAAAAAACTATTTGAAATAGTTACACTACTTATTACATTTTAAATAGGGTAAATAAATTGTAATCTGTAACCTATTACATTTCCAAAGTAACCTTCCCAACACTACTCTGCAGCTACTGCATGCTGGTGAAATAAAACATTTTCTGAAACGTTCTGAGCACATGACCGAAGCTGGATTTGCTGATTAATGGAGTCTGTGGTGAGCTGATGAAGCCTCAGATGACTTCTGTTGTGTATACTGTAAGTGCTCGTGTGTGTGTGTGTGTGTGTGTGTGTGTGTGTGTATTTTTTGGTGCCACTTAACTGACATTGAAGAACCACACTAAGCTACTAAGAATATGCTACAGCTTACGCCCCAAAAGTTTTGTCATTTATAAACCTCTGTCTGGCTGCAATCTTCACCATATCTGTAAATACTGTCAGCCAGTGTTAATTGGATCCTTACATTTGCAGACTCACAGATAAACTCATTCAAGGACACTATTTGCAAACCAGTGTTATTGTAGTATTATTTACTGTATATGCTATTATAGTATTTATTAATATTATGAATTAGATTTTTGTCATGTTTAGTTATGTGCTTTTGCCATTTTTCGGTTTTTTTTTTTGGCTTTAATTTATTTGTGTTTTAGTCATTTCATTACTTAAACGTATTTTATTTCATTTAGTTTCCAAGGCAACATTTCTGATTTTCATTTATTTATTCAATTTTTTTGATTTGGAGTTTATTGGCAGCTCTAACTCAAGTTGAAGACCCGCACAGCTGTTAAGAATATGCTTCTCAGAATTTTTTTATCCCCCAAAACGGTATATAAAATATTCATCTGCTATTTAGTGAGGTATAGTGTTGATTTCCAGACTCACAGATTTAAGTACACTATCCTAAACATACATACACACACATATATATATATATATATATATATATATATATATATATATATATATATATATGTAGTACTTACCTAGTAGAAAATACTGATAGGCATGGAACATCAGTGTCCTATATCGATCTTAATGTCCTATTATTGAAATCTCTGACATATCATGTCCATAACCAACTAAAAGATCAGCGTGTCCTCCTTTTGACCATAGGAGTAATGTACTACACATGAAAAACTTGGTGTCTGCAACCTGCTTTTAACATTGCGAAGCAGTTTTTGCAACTCCACATTAACGTGAAAAAGCCCATGCTGGTGTAGTTTTGTAAATCCATGCGTCAACAACATACAAGTAGTTTATGGAAAAAGGGACTGTATATATATATATGTAGTACTTAAACTTATTTTATTTCGTTCAGTTGTCAAGGCAAGATTTCTAATTTTCATTTAAGTTTTTTTTAAGAGTATGGATGCCATAGTTCATATACTTAAAGGGATAGTTTACCCAAAAATGAAAATTCTGTTGGTAAACAAAAACCATTCACTTCCATAGGATTTTCCACCCTGTATGAAAGTAAATGGCTACTGTCAACTGTTTGGTTACCAACATTTTTATCAGAAGAAACACAATCATACATGTTTATAACAACTTGAGGATGAGTAAATGATGACAGAATTTTTATTTTTTTGGGTGAATGGTTTCTTTAAGTTGACTAAAAAAACCACACTTCACAGTTACTAAGAATGTGCTACTCTTAATAGTTCACTACCCAAATACTTAACTATAAACTAGTGTCTGTTCCTGACACAGTGCTATCATATGACTTGTAATAGAGTTGCATGGACTGTTTTCCTGCTGCTTGTCCTGGTTTTGAGAGGCATGTTCTTTGTTTTGATCCCTAGGGTTGTGTCAAATGAATGCAGAGAGGGAAATATCTTGGAATTGTTTTGACGTTTCGGGTGCTTTGATGCCTTCCAGTTCTCTCCTTCAGATAGTTCTTGAGATTGCCAATATCTCAACTGTTGGAGAAGCAATGTCTAGATTTTGTGGAAACGAAACTTAATATCTTTTGAAAGTGATTGCATTCATCTGGAATGAACCTTCTGTTTTCCTTCCACAGGTCCTTTTCCCATCAGTCTTTGTTTATTATGGTACACTGAGAGTTTTTAGCCATGCGTGTGGAGCTGAGTTTGGTGTGTGTGGCGGTAATGTGCATTTTCAAACAGACGAGCTCGTGTTTAATAATCAGCGAGGTCAACTGCGACAATCCCAAACTGGACACTCAGGAATTTGTGGAGCTGTACTATGAAGGTACGAATCCTACTTCTCTGGATGGATACACGCTTGTGTTCTACAATGGCAAAGGAGACTCGGCGTACCGGATCATCGATCTGAGTGGACATCACACGGATCAGCGAGGTTTTTTCGTAGTTGGCTCTTCTGAACTGACTCCTCATCCAGCCATCTTTCTTCCACCCAACTCCGTTCAGAACGGGCCCGACGCCATCGCGCTCTACGGCCCCAACTGGGCACCGGTTGCCGAAGGGGGACTGGTTTCAGGAGTGGGGTTGCTGGACGCCGTTGTATACACTTCAGGAAAATCCAGAGACGGCGCCGACGGCCTTGCGTCCGTTCTGACTCCCGGCTCAGTCCCGTACGTGGAGGATGAGGCGGCTCTGGAGGGGGACGAGTCCATTCAGCGCTGCTGGCAGTCGGAAAACTTGTGGTCATTCTACACCGGCCCGCCGACCCCTGCGTGGGTCAATCACTGCCCGCCGCCGACCCCTGCAGAGGTCTGGATCAGTGAAATCAACCTCGGCGGGTCGGGCCATGTGGAACTCAGTGTTGGCATGGCAACTGGATCATTTTCTTTGGTGCTTTATGATGTTACTACGGATCTGATTAGCACGAGTCTGGAGTTCATTGCAAAAGAGCCTGGAATATTCGCCGTACCCGTGAATACTACGAGTTTGTCAGGTAGTGCTGATTGGATATCGCAGATAAAGTTATTTAAGGACACTATTAAGACTTTTTTACTATTATTTGTGTACTAGTGTAGTATTTATTAATATTTTGAATTAGCTTTTATTTTTATATTTATGATTTTCATTTTAAATTTAGTTTGTTTAAAGTGAATTTTGTTATGTGCTTTTATCATTTTATTCATTTTTAAAAATGTTCTATATATCTCATTGTTGTTGTTTTTTAATTCTCTCAGAATTTGTTGAGTAAAATCTCAGTAATGTCCAGGTCACACCACTTCCAAATCAAAAGGGAAAAAAAAAAAAATCATATTTTGCATAAAGAGAATGAAGCTCATTTTAAAGACCATTTTAAACAAATTTTCTAGGATTTTTTGCATTATTTTCATGACAAATATTCCCCCCTCAATTCTTGTTGCTGTAATGTGATGAAAGAAAAATGGTAATGAATAAATAAAAATCATCCTGCCCTGACACAATTATATATATTTTTTATTAAACAGAAATTCAATTCAATACAGCACATCTTATTTTGTATACTAAGTAAACCATATGCATTATTAATATTTAATTTCTCTCTCTCTCTCTCTCTCTCTCTCTCTCTATATATATATATATATATATATATATATATTATTAGTGCTGTCAAACGATTAATCGCATCCAAAATAAAAGTTTTTGTTTACATAATATATGTGCGTGTACTGTGTATATTTATTATTTATATATAAAAGCACACACATACAGTATATATTTTGAAAATATTTACATGTATTTACATGTATATATTTATATTCATGTAATTTGTTATAAATATATTTATTATATAAACATAAAAAAATTTCTTAAATATATACAAGCATGTGTTTATTTATATATACATAATAAATATACACAATACACAGCACTATTTTGACAGCACTATTAATATTTCATTATAGTGTGCTATTTATGTGTCACGAAAGTAATGCCATAATGCAAAATGTCATAGTGGTCTTAAATTAAATTTATCTTTTTGCAAAATATAATTTACTTTTTATCTTTTGATGTAGTGATGAAATATGAATATTACAAAAACTTTTGTCAAACTAAAATAATTTAGCAATTTCATATTTGATCTTGTAGGGCCACAAAGTGCAGCATTGGCGTTGTATAAAGGCCCGGTATCAGACCTCCCTAAGGACGGCCCCCTCAGCCACAAACAGCCAATCGATGCCTTTGTTTACGGTGACTCTGCCCACATGCCCAGTGACAATCTCACAGAGACACTCATACCAGGGAGAAAACCTTTCATACTCACAGAGAGGTGATCAACACGTGCCATACAATGCAGAATGACTTATTGTGGCATTTGTGTATTATATTATGTGCTCATCCATGTTTGTATGCTGCAGTTTTCTCACAGCAGGTCTTCATGTCAGTCGCTGTGGTGTTGCCGAATGGACGAGAGATCCGGGACTGTTTGTAACAAGGCCCCGGAGTCCCGGAAAACCCAATGACTGTGTTTGGTTTCAGTCCTGCCCGCTTAACATGAGTACATCTTGATATTTAGTTCATGTAGCAAAACTTACTTTTTCTTCCATGTTAAAGGGGTAGGTCACCCCAAAATGAAAATTGTCATAATTTACTCATCCTCATGTTGTTCCAAACTTGTATGAGCTTCTTTCAGCTGTTGAACACAAAAGAAGATATTTTAAAGGATGATTGCAACCAAACAGTTGACGGTATCCATTGACTTCCAAACTATGGAAGTCAATGGCTACCGTCAACTGCTTGGTTACCAACATTCTTCAAACAGGTTTGAAGATCTGTCCCTTTAAGGACACATTTTTAGGTGTCCTGTCATGTTTTTAATTTCATCTGGCTTGTCGTTTCAGCCTCTTTCACAGAGTCAGGACGGATCCAGCCCCCGATTCATAGCGATGTCGATTTCCTGCTTAACGAGATCAACACTGACTCACCAGGAGGAGCCGAGGACGAGGAGTTTATAGAGTTGTGGCATCCGTCTGGCTTCCGGATGTCGCTGGATTTCATCTGGCTGGTGATGATCAATGGTCAGACTGGAATGGTGTACTATGAGCTGGAGCTGAATGGATATTACTCAGATGATGACGGGTACTTCCTGGTGAGCTGATGCGTACTTGGACACTTGTGGCACAAATGAGTCATACGATTGAATTCCGATTAGAAGAATGTGTCAGCTGTAAAAGAAAAGGCAGTTAGCACTTTATGTACACTAGCGTTTAAAAGTTTGGGGTTGGTAGGATTTTTAAATGTTTTTGAAAGAAGTCTTTTATGCTCGCTGAGGTTGTATTATTTTAGTACAGATACAATAAAAGTAGTAATATTATTACAATTTCAAATATTTGTTTTCTATTTGAATATATTTTAAAATGTAATTTATTCCTGTGATGCGCAGCTGAATTTTCAGCATCATTCCTCCAGTCTTCAGTGTCACATGATCTTCAGAAATCATTCTAATATGTGACCCTGGAGCACAAAAGCAGTCTTAAGTCGCTGGGGTATATTTGTAGAAATAGCCAACAATACATTGTATGGGTCAAAATAATCGATTTTTCTTTTATGCCAAAAATCATTAGGATATTAAGTAAAGATCATGTTCCATGAAAATATTTTGTAAATTTCCTACCGTAAATATATCAAAACTTAATTTTTGATTAGTAATATGCATTGCTAAGAACTTCATTTGGACAACTTTAAAGGCAATTTTCTCAATATTTAGATTTTTTTGCACCCTCAGATTCCAGATTTTCAAATAGTTGTATCTCAGCCAAATATTGTCCTATCCTAACAAACCATACATCAATGCTTATTTATTCAGCTTTCTCAATCTCAATTTCACAAAATTGACCCTTATGACTGGTTTTGTGGTCCAGGGTCACATATGCTGATTCGCTGCTAAGAAGCATTTATTATTATCAATGGTGAAAAGTTTAATATATAACATTATACATTTGTTTTATGGTTCTTTGACAAACAGAAAGTTAAAAAACAACATTTATTTGAAATAGAAATCTTTTGTAAAATTCTAAATGTCTTTACTGTCACTTTTTGAATTGAATGCATCTTTGCCGAATCACAGTATTAATTTCTTAAAAAAAAAAAGTTTGAAGCTACAAACATAATGTTTCAGCTGTTAATCTTTCTGAATCTGTTCTTCCAGATTGGCAGTTCGAAGGTCGGCCCTGACATTAGGATCCCATCGAACATTATTCAGAACGGACCGGATGCCATAGTGTTATATCGCAGCAAGTCTCCGCCCTCTAAAGAGGGTCAGAATATTCCCAAAAGCGGTTTGCTGGATGCGGTGGTCTACCGCAATCGTGGGTCTGATAAAAAGGTTTCGGAGCTCACGGAAGCGCTGACACCAGGACAGCTCCCTCTGCTGGAGGACATCAGTGCGCTACCCGCTGACGAGACCCTCAGTCGATGTGGAGCCGAGAGACTCGACCTCAATGCTTTCAGGGTGAGACCTAGTGTTTCTGTTCATGTGAGCTTCATGCAGAATTCTCAATGGAACGTATGTAATATCATTTTGTACATCTGCCTTGAGTAGACTTCAGGCAGAATTTTAACTTAAAAATGTTTAATTCGAAATTCCACACATGATGGCTTATTTTATTTTTTATTTTAGTAGAATTCATGAATTCATAATTCCTCTGTGGTGTGTTGCAGTTTTTATTTATTTATTTTTTCCGTGTGTGAGTAATTTTATTTTATATTATTTTATTTTAATAGGAGTTCCTCTGAGATTTTATTTTTTTATAATGCCTACTGTTTAATATAAAATAATGTATATTATTTTTAAACTGTATACAGTATAAATTTTCCTAGCATTATTGCAGCAATTTTTTATCAATTTTTTACATTTTATTAAAATTTTAAAATTAACTTTTAAAGAAGAAGAATAAAAAAATTACATTTTTTTTACAGAGGGATTGTTGCAAAACAATATACTGTCAAAGTCAAGAGCAAAAACAATTACCAGGAAAAATTAGTAATAGGAAAAATAAATAAATTAATAATAATAATAATCCATTTGAGAGAAAAAACTAATTTGGCCATCTAATTTTATAATAAAGAAAAAATGCTAATAATTGTTTTTTATTCCAGTTGACTAAAAAAATCCAAATTTTTGGCAGCGTAATTATATAATAGTCAAGTTGAAGATGCTAAAAAATGACAGGTGAGAGAAGTTCAAACCTCACATTTTGGCATTTCGTCTATAACATTTACTTACTATGCAGATTATACATAATGTAAAAATGGTACGTAGTATGAGATTCCAAACAGGAAACTATTAAGTAAGTAGCCCGTCAGGGTTTATTTTGCAGTCCTACTTTTTTCAGATTTTATGTCCATCAAATGTGTGTCATATTAACCCTCTATGTGTCCACAGGTCACTTCTCCCACACCAAGGAAGCAGAATAACTGTCCTCCCAAACCCACCATGCCTCCGCCTCCTGAGGGTCTCGTCATCAATGAATGGAGCAAGACCTTGCTGGTAAACCAGTCTCAGGAGAGTTTATTTGTGGAGCTGATTGGCCCGCCGTCGACTCCACTGAATGGACTTGTTTTGGTGTTTTTTGGGGAAGACGCTACAGAATGGAGCGTCCCGCTCACTGGCAGCACAGGAAGTGACGGGCTCTATCTGGTCGCCAATGATTCTCGCGCAGGTGCGTGCGTTTGTTCTGGAAATGTCTTCTTTGTGAGGCACAGCTTGATTTGTTTGAATGGAGATAGATTGATGTGATCATCTTTGGTCACTGAAACATATTTTTCCCATTGTTTTTCTTCAATGACATTCTGAAAATTCTTCAGTAAAGATCAACCAGCTCTGAGATGAATCTCAATATTACATATTTTGATTTGAATGAAAATCTGAGTAAAACTGAAAAAGAACCAGGCTGTGTACGTTAAATCTTTTATTAGGGAATAAACTACTTATCACATGAAATTATTTTGGTCATTGGTTTTAAGTATAAAAATGATATATACACTATTTCAGTGTAATTGTAAATATTCAAGTACATACAAATAAGTAGTTTGAGAGTGTAACGTAATTCGGTTTCTGTATTCATGGAAACAGGGATGACTTCTCTGATTACTGGAGCTCTTCAGCATTGTTGATATTTGTTGACTTATATATATCAGTGTTGGGTGTAACTAATTACTAAGTAATTAGTTACTGTGATTGAATTACTTTCCCCTTGAAAAAGTAAAGTAAGGGATTACTCTTATTTTTCTGCAATTTACTTACAGTTACTTCTTATGTAATTGAACTTAATACTGTGAATAGACTGTAGAACATTTATACACCAAAATTTAAAATTGAACCTTAAAATGCATGCTTTTTATGTACCCTTCTCACTTTAAATACTTTGGTGAGTTAATAAGAATATTGGTAACACTTTAGTGTCCAATTCTCACTCTTAACTAGTTGGTTATTAACATGAATAATACTGGGATATTGGCTGTTTATTATTACTTAAAAGGCACATATTAATGTCTTATTCTGCAAGACCTTATTCTAAATCCTTAATCCTACCCAATTCCTTCTTAAACTTAACAACTACTTTACTGAGTATTAAGAAGCAGTAATTAGGAGTATATTGAGGCAAAAGTCAGTGAGCAATCTAAAGTGTGACCAGAATAATTTATGTAGTTATTTGAAAGAATTAAAAAAGAACCGTTTCATGTTTATTCTTGTATCATTAACTTGTCGAGGTTGATGTATGATTTAGAAAGTAATTAAATACTTTTTGGAGAGAGTAATTTGTACAGTAATCTAATTACACTGTTGAAGATGTAATTAGTAATTGGTAATTAATTACTTTTTTTTAAAAGAGTAATTTACCCAACACAGTATATACTGTATATAACTGTGCTGTATGTCGGCGCGCTGCCCACAAGGCTATCGGCACCAATATTTTATTTGATTTTTATTTTTTAATAATTATTTATTTTATTTTTTGAGTATTAGAATTGTTTTATTTTTATTATTTTATTTTGTTTTTTATTTTATTTTTCATTATTTTTATTTTTTATTTTATTATTTGTGGAGTATTTGATTTGTTTTGTATTTTGAGTATTTGATTTATTTTATTTTTAACAATTTTATTTTATTTTTCTGTTATTTTATTTTGTTTTTTATTTTATTTTTCATTATTTTTATTTTTTATTTTATTATTTGTGGAGTATTTGATTTGTTTTGTATTTTGAGTATTTGATTTATTTTATTTTTAACAATTTTATTTTATTTTTCTGTTATTTTATTTTGTTTTTGTTCTTTTACTTACATTTATTTTTAGTTATTATTAATTTAGCTTGTGCCTTTATTATGTGCTTGGAGTGGTTTACTAGTATGCTAATGTCTTGTTGTGTACTATTCCAAATTTGACTAATGAACATGATTTATATTGTGAAATTGAAGCATAACTCGTCAACCTCAAATGAAATATAATAATTATTTATATAACATTTTTCTATAGAGAAAATGAATTGGATTATTACTTCGGACTATTGTTCTCTAAAGCAATCAGTGATTTCAATTGAATAGCAGATGATTTCTAAAAAGTAACATTGATTTGTTTGCTCATTCATCTTTGTGTTTGTGCAGATCAGGGTTTGCCAGCGCTGGGTCATTTGGGTGCAGTGCTGTTGTGTTTTGAGCCGTCAGGATCAGGGTTTTGTGGGAGCAACTCACGTCATTTGGACGGTCTAGTTTTTTCCAATGACCCAAAGTTACAGGGAATTCTCCAGCTCAACACGACACACTTCTTATACACACTCTTCAGGTTTGTTGGGGAGCTTTTTGATTGTGAATCCAGTGTGTTGTTGTTGGTATCAGCAGTTTTGTCCACTGTACCTGCTGTTTTCATGCATGTAACTGCGTGTCTGTGTTTCTGTGATTAGTGCGGCTTCTTTATCTCGATGTGCATCAGACGGGCCCGTTCTCTGGATCGCATCCCAGCCAACTCCACGCCTGCCGAACCACTGCCCGAGTCCCGCCTTCTCCAGCTCTGCGGCTCTGTGCCTGCAGCCGGACAATAATAACTGGCAGAGCGGATCGGGGAGTAAGTGATCTTTAAAGGGATATTTGAAGAACATTGGCATCTACTCACCCTCATGTCTTTCCAAGAGCGGTTTGCTGCAGTTTTTTCCATGTAACACAAAATTATTTTGGAAAATCTTTGCACGGCGCAAAATAACACAGTCCTGCGTGTTGGAAAAAACATTCTGCTGGGTTGCAAAAAATAAACAGTTTTTCACAAAATAAGAATGAAGATTTATATATATATATATATATATATATATATATATTGTGACCCTGGACCACAAAACCAGTCATAAGGATCAATTCTTCGCGATTTATACATCATCTGAAAGCTCAATAAATAAGCTTTCCATTGATGTGTGGTGTAAGATGCATCCAAAATGTACTTTTCTAATTAAAATCAACAGTAAAAATAATTCATCTCATCTGAAGTGTTTCTCGGTCTCAGATTGTGCCCAGGAGGAGTTTGCTGTTTTATTAGAGCGCTTGTGTAACTGTGGGATCTCAAGCTTACATGTTAAAGGTAAGACACTTGAAAACACACATTAATGGTGTTAAAATGAAATGATCTGGTAATGACAGTTATTTCTTGTCTTTCACCCGTGTGAGGTGTGAATGTGTCCTGTGAGGCGGGTCGGTTTTACGCTCAGGGATCTGTTCTTGCTGTTTCTGACCAACAGAGAGAGCGAATCAATGAGATACTGAGTGACAACAAGCTCTCGTGTTCAGCTGAACAGGAGCGACAGGTTCATGGAGGTACAAGACACACACATGTTAATATACGCTCTTATGGAAGTTCAGGGTATATTTTGGGCTGAAGGAAGTAAGCTTGTGTTTGTATGTGCAGCAGGGTCGTCAGTCGCTCTGCAGGTCGGGCTTGTGCTCGCGACGCTCCTGCTGTTCGCACTGGGTGCTGCACTCTTTGTCTTCTTGTACAAAAAAAGGTGAGGACAGATCTGTTTTTGTTTTGCATGAAAGTCTCTGTGATGATGCCTCGAGGTTAGGGCTGTCAGTTGATTTATTAAAAAAAAAAACATCATGTGCCAATTAAAACTTTTATTTTATTTAAAGGGGTCATATGATGTTGCTAAAAAGAACATTGTTGTGTATTTGGTGTAATGAAATGTGTTTATGCGGTTTAAGGTAAAAAAAAACAAATTATTTTCCATATAATGTACATTATTGTTTCTCCTCTATGCCCCGCCTTTCTGAAACGCGTAGATTTTTACAAAGCTCATCGTTCTGAAAAGCGAGGTGTGCTCTGATTGGCCAGCTATCCAGTGCGTTGTGATTGGCTGAATGCCTCAAGCGTGTGACGGAAATGTTACGCCCCTCACCATACTGTGATGCCATCTCCCAGCAGGACGAGGTTGGACGAGACGCCGTCCAGCTGCTCTGCTCGTGCACATCCCATCATCGGTTCTCTTTTAGCAGTTCAGTCAATGTACTGTTAGGAGTATCTGAATAGCTTGGGTTTATTTCGCGTCAGAGGGAGTGTCAGGCACGTTTATAAACCGAATAACTTAAGTAATTTGTGGATTAGTGCGTATTGGAGACGCGAACCGTTTCAAACGATTCAGATCGATTTGGTGAACTGGTTTGACTGGTTCACTAAGAAGATCCGGTTAAATAGAACGATTCGTTCGCGATCCGGACATCACTAGACGAGACAAAACCAATAAAACCCATTACAAACGAAGCATTTGTTGCATCCAGTGGGGACATAATTACGGATTATAATGACAGACCTATACTGTCTTTTTACGCGTTGCGTATTGCGCCGCGTAAACATAAAACCATGTCTGCATTTGTGATCGGAGAAATGACAAACAAGTGCTTCTCTACACTGCCCAAAACTCGCGTTTGAATCGTCAGTGGCAAATAATTTAAATATAAAAAAACGTACTTGCAGGCTGTGAGTCAGAAGCGCCAGACTGTCCTTGCAAAGTTGGAACTGCCCCACTTTATAGAAACAGCCTTTCTGCCACAGACGCATTGTAGGCTACTGGTTCAGGAAACAGTCTTCATCCATCCTCCATAAAATTTCTAAAAAAGTCGCTTTCACAACGAAACACACAGTGACTCCACAACATGGCAGCGGCGGCAACGGCGAGAATAAAAGTTACGCCTTCTTTCTTTGCGTGAACATTTAGGCAGCGTTATGCAAATCTTCCCACATAGTGAGGTAGACATGTGGGGGCGTGTTAGAACAAGCCATTTTAGGTAGGCGTGGCTGACTCTTAACTTTTATAAAGAATATCTCTTTGGATTTGAGACTTTAGTCTTTGCAACTTTACAGATCTTCTTTATGCACCAAGAGCTTGTGACACTTTAAAGAGAAAAGAAAAATTGAAATCGCATCACATGACCCCTTTAAGAAATTGAAACAATGTACTATTTAAAAGTAGTTGTACTTTTTACATTTTATTTAAAATATCAAATTAATATCAAAGGTTTAAAAATCTTTTCTTGTTTTATGTTTTAAATATTATTAAATAATAGTATAGTATAGTATTAAAAAATTTTATTTATGCAAATTGATCAACTGATTTGATGTCAATATACTGTAGATGTCATTCAATTTATTAGAATTTTTTTTTTTTAAATCTGCCAAATAATAAATTGAATTAATATAAGTATACAGTTTTATTTATGCCAGTTAATATCAGTATACAGTTTAAAAGTAATTCAACTTATTTTATTACAATATGAATTATTTTTTTATTTATGCCAATTAATAAGTAGAATTAATATCAAAATAGTATAAAAAATGTTAAACTCTAAATATTATGTAATTTTATTTTCTTGCTAATTAATACATTGAATAATATCAGTATATAGTTTAACTTATTTTATTAAAAAATATTCATTTTTATATTCAATATTCATTATTCATTTTATTCATGCGGATTAATTAATTGAATTAATATTAATATACAGTTTAATAAAGCAATAAGCAATAACTCCGCTTTGCGTCGTGCCTAACAACGCCCCTTAGCTGTTATAAATTCACTGTAAACCACGGCTTCACAGGGCTTATTGCTTTTATAAAACGGTTATTCCATACATGTAGTAAGGTTTCACAGAATAAAACAGAGTAAATAAAGTGTAATGATATTAATAAAAAGGATGCATTTATTATACAAAAATACAGTAAAAACAGCAATAATATTATTACAATTTAAAATTAGTTTTCTATTTGATTATATTTTAAAGTGTAATTTATTTCTGTGATGCGAAGTTAGATTTTCAGCATCATTACTCCAGTCTTCAGAGTCACATGATCATTCTAATATATGCTTGTTCTTATTATTATCAGTGTTAAAAACAGTTTAATCATGACAACTCTCTGAAGATTTTAGCATGGTGATGGATATGACAATGCTAATGTATTTGGTCTTGGCGGAATAGATCTGCTACGCTGCTGCTGTTGATTATTGCTGTAGTTGTAGATTATTGCTGCTGCTGCAAGCAATTTCAGAAACTTGCTACTGCCAATGCATACGGCGATACGGTGCCATGAGTATTTAAGACATACTGTTGCTGCACAAATACACTGAACAAAATTATAAACCTAACACCCCATTTTTGAGTTAAGCCCATTTTTCATGAGCTTAACTCAAAGATCTAAGACTTTTTCTATGTACACAAAAGGCCTATTTCTCTCAAATATTGTTCACAAATCTGTCTAAAGCTGCTTCATATTTTTGTGGAAACAATGAAACTATTATTTTTTTAACAGCATTTACTTGAAAGAGAAATCTTTAGTAACATTATAAATGTCTTTACTGTCACTTTTGTTCAGTTTAATGCATCCTTGACCCCAAACTGACTCCATATACTTATTTATAATTTTTTAGTGCTCTGTATCTTTGTCTCATTTGTCAGTCTGATCTCTCAGTCTCTCTTTTCTCTTCCTGTTCTTTAATCAGCACTTCCTGTCCTGTCTGTATCAGATGCATCTTCTTAAGACAAAGTCACACATATATTGACCTGCATTGACTTTAATTTTTTTCTGTATTGCATATGCATTTTTTGCGCACATGCATGGCCTTAGGCTGTCTGTGTTATCAATTTCACACAACAGTAGTCATGTGTGAAAATATGTGTTTTTGTGTTGAGTATTTTTACAGTCTAGTGCTTATGTAAAGTGAGCGTGTGGAAGCGTGTGCATGTATGTATGTGGTTTTGTGCACATAATGACAACATGTCAGACGATGCTACGCGTCAAAAGTGCATCTGTGGCCTGCTGCACAGGAAGAGAAGGAGGTGCTACAGGAAGGATAGAAGAGAGGGGGAAAAAAAGACAGATGGTGCGTGACAGAGACACTCAAACAGAGAAAGTGTCGAATGGAGGATGAAGATGAGGTCCGTGAGAAGTAGGGTAGAGAAGAGCGGAGGTTAGCAGATGCCAGCGAGACTTCCTGTGCTCAGAAACACACCTGATGCTCCTGCGCTTGAGTCTGTGTGTTTGGAGCCTCCAGATCTGAAGGCCAACAAGATCAACGCCACTCAATCAACAGTGAGTATTAGCTTTCTTCATCAAGCAGATTAGCTATATTTTATATTATACATTTGTGTATATAAGGTGTTTGTCCTTAAACATGAGCCATATGCAGTTAATTGCTGGAGAATTTCTATTTTTTTGAACACACAATCGTCAAAAAACTGTAAATTTTAAACATGGTTACATTAATTAATATTGCTGTTGTAAAATAATTTCATTTGTGCTTTTTTTTTTTTTTTAAAGAAAACATTTTTATATACATGTATCTTGGTGTTCTGAGTGGTTACTATGGTATTTAGGATGGTTGCTAGTGTATTCTGAGTGGTTACTAAGGTTTTAGGATGGTTGCTAGGGTATACTGGGTGGTTACTAAGGTATTTAGAATGGTTGCTAGGGTATTATGAGTGGTTGCTAAGGTATTACGGTATTTAAAAATCTAACTAGCTTTCTGTATTCTTTTTCTATTCTATCTACTTGTTTTCTTTGTGTGTGTATATACTGTATATATATATATATATATAAGTGTCTGCTAAATGACAAAATGTAAATGTAAATTTAGTATAGTTGCTAGGGTAAAAGATGGTTGCTAGGGTATGCTGAGTGGTTACGAAGGTATTTAGGATGGTTGCTAGGGTATACTTAGTGGTTGCTAAGGTATTTAGGATGGTTGCTAGGATAAAGGATGGTTGCTAGGGTATTCTTAATGGTTACTAAGGTATTTATTATGGTTGCTAGGGTAAAGGATGGTTGCTAGGGTATTCTGAGTGGTTAAAAAATAAATGATGTTTTAGAAGAGTCTCTGGATATTTGTAAGGATTCAGTCAATCAGTTTCGATCCTATTTTATATAGAGATATAGAGTATGGTAACTGCTTTAAACCCAACCATGGGAAAAAATCATTCTTGTTATATATGTTATTAAAATGCTACAATGGAAGTGACCTACTATTGTTTGAACACATTTTGGCCGATTTACACATTGAGTGTAACATGACATTGACACTGCTGTACTGTGTTACCGGGTCTGTTACTTACTGAACATACAGTATGTGAACATTTACATCTTGTTAAATTGATTTTGACCGTTCAAAAGTTTTAGGTCAGTATGATTTATTTTAAAAACACTTTTATTCAAAAGTGACTGCAAAGCATTTATAATGTTACAGAAGATTTTTATTTCAAATAAATGCTGTTCTATTTAATTGTCTAGTCATGAAAGTGTCCTGAAAAATGCATCATGGTTTCCACAAAAATATGAAGCCGCACAACTGTTTTCAACATTGATAATAATGAGAAATGTTTCTTAAGATGAAAATTCAGTTGTGATCACAGGAATAAATTACATTTTAAAATATATTCACATAGAAAACAGTTATTTTAAATTGTAATAATATTTTACAATATGACTGTTTTACTCTATTATCAAATAAATGCAGCCTTGGTGAGACTTCTTTCAAAAACAAAATATATATTTTTTTTTATTTAAATCTTTCTTATATATATACTGTATATATGCTTGAAAACATTCTGCTGACTGTACTGTTTCTTTCTGTCATCATTGCTGGACAGTAACTGATTACATGTAATCTGGATTACACAGATTCCAAAAATATAGTACTTGTAGTTAGAGTATATTACATTTTAAAATGCTTGTAATCAGATTATAGTTACTTTTTATGGATTACATGATTACATATTATTCACATAGTGGCAGTAAATTATTCATAATAATAATTCATATTGATTCACATTGATAACCATTCATATTGATCCTGGAAGTCTGAACCCTGTTTTTGTGTTTAATAATGGGTGTTTAATGCAGGGATTCCCAAACATTTTTGTCACCCTTAAAATAAAATATTTGTTGAAATATCGCAGAAGTAGTTAACATTTCCATAATTTAACAAAACATTTGCATGTTCACAGTTCTCTGATGTTAGTTAATGGTCACACTGACATGCAGGTAAACAAATACAATATTTGTATTTTTATTGTTTAAGTGTTTAAATTCCTTTTATTTTACATTTGTATGAGTTTAATTAATTATTAGGTTTTTATCAACTTACTATTCACTCTCTATTAATTCACTAATGTAATGTTTAATGCTTTTTATGATATTGACATCAAAAGATGGAATATATTTTCTTTCGCTTTGCTTTTTTATATCGATATGTTACGTTTAAAACATAAAAAAAAAAGTAATCAGATTACATTACCAAAAATGTGTAACCTAGATTACGTTACTAACTACAGTTTTCATCGTGTAATCTGTAATCCGTAATGGATTACAATTTGTAAGTAATCTACCCAGCTCTGTCAGTCATGTGGGACTCATAATGTGTTTGAGGGGAAGGCCAATGCTGCAGTTTCTACCTCCCCTGAGCTTTTAATATCTTAATTGGTATGCAGGTTGTTTTGTTAATAGAAACAAAGCTTATTGTGGCATAAGATTGTCAGTGTTGTCTTGTTGCTACAGGCTTGTAAATTGTACCTCGCATCTTTTTGGGACAGCTGTCATGCTGTAACCATGGTAACACAGTGTTTGTTGAAGCATGTGGGTAATGAGGTTCAGTGGTTTCCAGAGAACTGAAATGTGCTCCTCTGGACCTTTCTCTACATGTTTCATTCAAGAAGTTTTAAGTACATTTAACTTTTTATTTTTAAATTCTGAACACTGTTAGTTAGAAAGCATGTCAATGCAATTCCACATTTCATAAATTACAAAATATACATCTGGAAGAAAATGAGCATTGTTTGTCTGTGCAAAACTTGCAGCCATGATGCTGTGATGGAGACCGTATCCGTTTGATTGATGTGTGCTGCTGATGATGCACTGTCGATCTGTGTTACAGGGAAATGGATGCCACTGAATGACACTGAGGGTCTGACACACACACACACACACACACAGCTGGACACGGTTTCCTAGTGCTCTGGGATGGATAGACATTCCCATATCCCATGGCAGGAGTACTGCTACCTGGATCTGAAGTCCAATGCTCAAAAACAAGAGACTAGCAAAAGGATGGAAGGTAGAGATAAGAAGATATAGCCCACAAACCCGTCACATTTTATGTATTTTTAATTGTTTACATCTTTTTTTTTTTTTTACTGTTTAGATTACCATCATTTAGCACTAGTTTTATTAGGCTAGTAATAGATTAAAGTTATTTTATGTTTTAGTTTTTTTATATATATATATATATATATATATATATATATTATTTTGTGTGTATGTATATATACAGTGGCATGCGAAAGTTTGGGAACCCCTTGCAGAATCTGTGAAAATGTGAATAATTTTAACGAGGACAATTGAGGGACTCAAACACAACTATTTAAAAAGGTTCAAACATTCACTGATGCTCCAGAAGGAAACACGATGCATTAAGAACCTTTCGAACAGGATGTAGATGTCCCAATTTTTCTTATTTTGCCGAAATATAATTTTTTCCCATTTAGTGCTGCCCTTCGGAAACAACAGAAGATACTTGCATGTTTCCCTGAAGACAAATTAAGTACAATTTACCTTGATCTTCAAATTCAAAAAGTTTTCACCCCCCGGTGAAATATCTTACTCAGGACAGTACTAAATAAAAAATAACATGCATTTTGCATGATCTCTCTTATTTTGTTAAAATGATTCACATTTTCACAGATTCTGCAAGGGGTTCCCAAACTTTCGCATGTCACTGTATATATATATATAAAATATTAAAGTATACATGCAACTTTAGTAGATCTGTGAGTGTGTCTGTGCATAAAAATTACAGTAAAAACTGAAATGTATTGTAGTTTTTATTGTTTAATTTTTTATTAATTTGTATTAATATATTTGTATTTAATCTTTTGTTAATATAATGAAGCAGTATAGATTTATATAATAATTATAATAATAATTAATAATAATAATTAAGTCATTTTGCAGAATCATTTTCGCTTTTATCTAAAGCGACTTACAAATGAGAACAATAGAATCAGTCAAAACTAACAAAAGAGCAACAATATATAAGTGCAAATGACAAATCTCGGTTAGCCTAACGCAGTACATGTAGCAAGGTATTTTATAATATATATACACACACACACGCACACATATATAAACACACACATACACAAAGAAAGAAAAACAAGTAGAATAGAAAAATAGAAAGCTAGTGTTAGATTTTTTTTTATAAAAAAGAAGACGTATAGATAAAGTAGAATATAAGTGCTAGGGCTAGAGGGTCAAATAAAGATGGAACAGATGTGTTTTTAGTCACTTCTTAAAGATGGCTAAGGACTCAGCTGCACGGATATTAATGACCATTTCTCAGTTTTCAGCCATATTGGCCATTAATATTAAAATATACATTCAACCTAAGCAGATCTATGTGTGTCTGTGCATGAAAATGACACTAAAAACATGTACTTTAGTTTTTAGTGTTGTAATATTTCCATATATTTGTATTTAAAATGATTTAATATTTATTCATATAAATTATTAGTATTATAGATTTATAACACTGACCATTTTTGGTTATAAGTCATTTATATTAAATATTAAAATGTATAAATATAAAAAATATATATTTACAATTTTAAAGTGGCCATATTATGCCTTTTCGAATATTACCTTTCATGCAGGTGCGTCATGTAGCTGTATGTGAACATAAACTATCTGCAAAGTTGTGAAGCCGACAGTGCACGATAAATACATTTATTGTCTATCAATAAAAAGAGTCGGCTTGCAATCGCCTAAACGAGTCGTCAGGAATTAGAATCTCATTCTGTTACGGCTCTACGTCACAAAGTAACACATTTGCATAATGTCCGCCCACGTTCTACGAAGCCAATTTGCCTGCCCACAAACAGTCAAATTTCCGTGTGGTTAACATCATGTCGAGAAGACGCTGTATCCTACGCTGTGAGAGTAAATTTGTTTTATCACATCTTATAATCAGCACAAACTTTTTAACACTTGACACTTACCACTGAGAAACGTCCTGCTCCAGTCGTGCATGCGAATCAGTCTCTTGTCGATCAGCCAGTTCAACCGTTTCATCATCAGACTCCGGCTCGAATTGGTTAGGTACAATCCATACCATCTTTTCCATGTATTGACAAGTCTCCAGGGCTGTCATTCTGTCATGGCAATGGGCGTTTAGTTTCCGACACGCACTGTACGCGGTAGACCAATCCAGAGCCAATCTCTCTACGGCTCTGGACGAATCACAAAGGACTGCGCCATCTGACCAATCACAGCAGTGAGGGCTCACAGAAAGGAGGGGTTTAGAGAGACTGATTCTTTGAACTGCTTCGCACGAGTCGTTTACGAATCATTTAGAAATGAGGTCAAATTAAATAAATTTTTTGAGAAAACGAACGTGTTTTTTGACCTTGCATGCATGTAAACCTGTTTTAGGAGACTCCTAAAACAATATTAGCAACCTTAAAAATGGCATAATAGGGGCACTTTAAATAATTATGATCAATATTAAAGATAAATATTAAAAATAATATATCAGTGCTGGCCAAAAATTTAGTATCTGTGCATCCCCATTTTTAACATTTTAACATGCATTCCTTACACTAAATTATATGTTTGTGTACCTATGTGTTTGTTCCTCAGATCCTGGGTGGTTACGCAGACACCAGACGTTGTTGCAACGGTTCTTATCCACCTCCATTTTGGTAAATGTGGTCCATCACATGAGAAAGGCAGACCTGCTTAGTGCACAGGAGGCGGGGCTTATACTGGAAATGGGGTCGTTGAAGGATAAAGTGCATTTATTGGTTGAGTTCCTGTCTGTCACTGATCCACATGGCACCGCCCTTCAGACTTATCTTCAAAGTTTACACCTGACCGAGTACAACCTTATAACTGTACATGGTTAGTATATGTGATTAATATATTTGTTTGTTCTTTTAAAATCCTTATTTTTTTTTTTTGCCTGTGTTTCTCACGTCTGTCGCTTTCTCTCTGTAGACTCTGTGGTTCGACGGTATAAAGACGCTCTCATTCAGCGACTCAGAGAAGATGAAAATTCATTGGCGCAAGTCCCCGGCAACTCAAATTCCACTTTACTCCTCATAGAGTGCGTATCTGACCTTCAGCAGCGAGAACACGACCTTGTACAGGTGTTAGTCAACAGAGGGGCGGGGCCTCTTCACGGTCGAGCGCTGGGATTGGACAAGCTGATCGCTCCTTTGACGAGAGTTAGCACCGCCCCTCGCGTGACACTGACGGTGGGCGTGGCCGGCAGCGGAAAGAGCCGAATGGTCCGCCGTTTCATCCAGCTATGGAGCACCAGTCAGATCTATCCAGAGCTGAGTCTCGCAATCCCCATTGCATGCTGGGAATTGAGCAGTTTCGATCGGCTATCGGTCGAGCGCTTGCTGCGACTGTTCGTTCCGTATGATAACATGGACGTAATTTTATTTAACGAATCCTGCAAAGTGTTGCTCATTTTGGACGGATTGGAAGAATTTCGCCAGTCGCTGGATTTCGCAGATGCCCCGCCCACTAGCGACCCTCGTCGCGAAATTCCCGTGTCGGATCTCATTGCGAATATTGTACGAGGCAACCTGTTGCCAGGGGCAACACTCTGGCTTTTATCAAGGCCTGGCACTGGTGCGAAAGTTCCAGCAGGATTGGTCGACCGTGTGACGGAAGCCCCGCCTCTTTCCCGAACGCAAATAAAGGATTACATTAATCACTGTGTTACGAACACGCTAGATGCGTATTCGATATCACAAGACAGCTCACAGTCTCAAACAAACACACCTGAGGATGTCTCCTCCCAAGTGTGGACTTACCTGAATTCCCAGAAACCATTGCTCATTTTGTCTTCTGTGCCCGCAGTTTGCCACATTATTGTAACTACGCTATCACGCCTTCTACAGTTGGACTCAGATGCCACGCCCCTTCCTCGAACATTAACAGAAGTCTACGCCCACTACTGTTGGCCACACCTCTCTGGATCAGACACGCCCAGTGGAAGCATCAGGAAGCCGCTTAGCTCTCTGGGTCGCCTTGCTTTTTATAGCCTCTTACGACGACGGTATACGTTCAGCGAGACAGAATTGCGAACTTATGGCGTCGATGTACCACCTCAGGGTGGGATGCTCAGCTGCCGCATCCTCCAGCGCAGGCAAAGCTGGTCGTCCGATAGCGTGGCGTGGCAGTTCACGCACACGTCCGTGCAGGAGTTCCTGGGGGCGCTCTTTTACTACATTTCGTCGAGGCGCGGGATGTTCGATCTGTTTTCCGAAAGCGGCGTTTCCTGGCCCCGCATTGGCTTCCATAGCCACTACCGTGCTGCGCTGCAGAAAACCAACCAATCAGACGCCGCAGCGCAAGGCAACCTCGACCTCTTCATGCGCTTCCTGTCAGGGCTACTGTCTCCAGCGGCTGCAGCTTTGCTAGGCGGTTCGCTGGGCGTTGGGCACGAGGAGCAGGTGACCCAGCGCACAACAGCGACAACTTTGCTTCAAAACGCAGTGACTGGGACAGGAGGCGACGCCGTTAGCATGCGCAGCGTCACGATGGTAACATGTCTGGCGGAGCTGCAGCAGGCGGAGTGGCTACGATCCGTAGAGGACGATCTCATTAACTGCAGCCTGCGGGGGAAGCTGAAGGGCGGAGTTTGTGCTGTTCTCGCCTACTTGTTGCAAGTATCAGACACATGTACTGAAGAGACGCAACTGTCCAACTGCCTAGACTCCTCCTCCTTGAAGAGGCTCCTCCCACAGCTGCTGTACTGCAGTAAGCTGAGGTAAAACGTGCATGTTTATACTAAAAAACACAAAACTCTATAGCATAAAGTTAGTCTATACAGTTTGAGTTATATATTTAAAGACTTCCAAAGCCATATTACAGATTTGTGTGAGAAACGCACCTAAGTTTGAGTTATTTTTCATGTTAAATCTCTTATGTATCCTATTAACTCTGTATATGTGTGTTGTGAAGAATGGAAAACAATGAATTTAAGGAAGGCACCATGGAGCTGTTGGGAAGTCTGCTGAGTGCCAAAGAGTGCCATATTCAGATGCTCAGGTATGGACACACACTTAAACACATATACACTACTGGTCAAAAATTTGGGGACAGTAAGTTTTATTATTTTACAAGAAATTTACACTTTTATTCAGCAAGGGAGCATTACAGTGATCAAAAATGACATTTACATTGTTACAAAAATTTCTGTCAAATAAATATAGTTTTTCTGAACTTTCTATTCATCAAATAATTGTAAAAAAGAAATTATAACTGTTTTCAAAAAATATGAAGAATCACAACATTGATAAACATAAATGTTTCTTGAGCAGCAAATATTATACTGATTTCTGAAGGATCGTGTGACACTGAAGACTGGAGTAATGATGCTGAAAATTCAGCCTTGCATCACAGAAATAAATTATATTTTACAACATATTAAAATAGATAATGCTTATTTTAAATTGAAATAATATTTCACAATATAACTGTTTTTACTGTAATTTGTGAAATAATTGCAGCCTTGGTGAGCAGAAGAGACCCAACCTTTTGAATGGTAGTATGTTTTATTACAGCCTTTAACTTGTTTAACTCTCTTTCTCTCTCTTTTCTAGTCTGGCTGATAACTCCATAAGCAGCAAAGGCATTAAACCGCTCAGTCGGGCTCTACTTGTCAACCGAACCCTCACAACCCTGGAGTCAGTGGCTTTTTTATTAATATAATCATAATTTGGCATTTTCACTAGCAAGGTCATTGAATAATATAATGCAAACTAATGTGATACGTCTTTTCCTGTGTCCTTGATCCTTACAATCCGAATCAACAAGACAAAATAAAATTGATTGTTAAATAAAACCGATCTCTTTTGTTTTAGTCTTCGTGGCAATAATATTGGTGCCAAGGGAGCAAAGACATTGTGCGAGGCCCTAAAAATGAACCAGGTCCTCGTGTCAGTCAAGTAAGTTCTGATAAACCATTATAGAATTGTCTTTTTTTTTTATATTGTAATATGTATCATAAATACAATTTTATTTATTGATATTATTTATTTATTAAATAAATTATTTAAATAATATATATTTCTAATTGATTAAATTGCAATAATATAAGAGCAAATGAGGTCCTCATGTCAGTCAAGTGAGTTCTGTCAAACTTTATAGAATTGTTACAGTTTTCATTTTTTTATGTTATAATATTTATAAAAAAATTAATTTTATTCATTTATTTTTTTAAATATTATTTCCTAATATTTGTTTTCTAATTACGATAATTGTCTAATAAAGATAATCTAGTTAAGATTTTATTTGTAATTTACTAAATTTAATAAAAGATCTAATGAGGTCCTTCTGTCAGTCAAGTGGATTCTACATAATAAAATTGTTACAGCTGTAAGTATAAAAAATATTTATAATAAATAAAATTAATTTATTTATAAAATAAAATACATTATTTTTGAAAAAATATATTTCGAATTTAATACATTAATAAACAAATCTTTAATCAATTATTTGATTTAATTTGTACGTGCTTGTGAGCACATATGAGCTTTCTGTATGTGTGTTTTTGTTTGACTGGATGTGTGTGCGTGTTGATTCATGCAGTCTGCAGAATAACCACATAGAGAATGAAGGAGCGTGTGCGCTGGCGGAGGTTCTTCAATCAAACCGAAAGCTCACCACACTCAAGTGAGTCTGTGTTTTACTGTGTGTGTGTGTGTGTGTGTGTGTGTGTGTGTGTGTGCACTTCAGCAGAGCATCATAAACACAAATCTTCATGCACTGCAGCGTTCAGAAGAATGGCATCGGGCCAGAAGGAGTGAAAAAAATCGGAGAAGCCCTTACGAAGAATCAAACTCTACAAGATCTCAAGTAAGAGGCGGAAGTGTCAGCTCAAAATCTGATCATATTAAACTCTCTGCTGAAAATAATTCTGTCCGTATGAATGTTATTGCAGCGTCTCCAGCAATCATTTGGGTGATTTGGGAACAGTAGCTCTGGCTCAGGCTCTTATGGTCAACCATGTACTCCACACGATCAGGTAAAACACATTAAATGAGCCAGTTCATTACAAATAATCAAATTATTGATTGTGAATGAACTTCTGATCTATCTCTCTCACGTCTTCAGTCTTCAGAGTAACTCAGTGAGTGACAGAGGTGTTAAAGCTCTCTCACATGCTCTTCAGTCAAACCGAGGACTCGGCTGTCTCAAGTATGTCAATTTCAAACGCCACAGGATTAATCTATTTAAACATGTATGTTTTAGTTGAGAAATAATGCAGATTTTTGGTGTCTATTTGATGGCAGTCTAAGGGAGAATTCAATAGGAGTCGCTGGAGCCAAAGACATCGCCAAAGCCTTAAAAGTCAACACTTGTCTTCGAGAACTCGAGTAAGTACACACAAAAAACATGTTTTTATGTCAAAATTAACACATGCCTTTGTCTTTTACTGTTTTTATTTAATGTTTATGTATTTTTTTTCACATATCTATATAAAAAATACTATAAATGTTTTAAATATAAATATTTAACTTTAGGGCTGGGTAAAAAATATCGATATCTCGATTTTAATCGATTCTCATTTTTATAGAACGATATCGATTCTTAAATCCCAAAAATCGATGAATCTAGCCTGTTTTCAGTTAATGGACAGAACATTGAAGCGCACCTCCCATCCAATAAATTGCAGTAAGCATTGTGCTTTGGTACTTTTAATATAAAAACAGTCCCACATTTAAAATGATCTCCACTGTATTGCAGTATTTAAAGGGGTCATATAATGTTACTAAATAGAACATTATTTTGTGTATTTGGTATAATGAAATGTTTATGCAGTTTAAGGTTAAAAAAACACAGTATTTTCCACATACTGTACATTATTGTTCTCCTCTATGCCCCGCCTTTCTGAAACGCGTTGATTTTTACAAAGCTCATCGGTCTGAAAAGCAAGGTGTGCTCTGATTGGCCAGCTATCCAGTGCGTTGTGATTGGCCGAATACCTCAAGCGTGTGACGGAAATGTTACGTCCCTTATCATACTGTGATGATGCCCTGTCAGGCTAGAGCGATGATACAAAAACATTAAAACCCATTATAAACGAGGCATTTGTTGCATCCAGTGGGGACATAATTATGGATTATAATGACTTATACTGTCTTTTTACGCGTTGCATTGCATCGCGCCGCGTAAACATAAAACCATGTCTGCATTTGCGATCGGAGAAATGACAAACAACAAGCACTACTCTACACTGCTCAAAACTCTGAATCGTCAGTGGCAAATTCTTTAAAGATAAAAAACGTACTTACAGTCTGTGAGTCAGAACAGCCGGCATTGTAGTCTACTCTCCCAGGATCAGGAAACAGTCCTCCATAAAATGTGCTGCACACATCTGAATATTTGGGTTGAAGTGTTCTGGAACAGTGTTGTAAATACAACTTAACCACTGATTTCTAGTCGTGTCCTCTTTTGGAAGACCAAACAAAGTAGTTTCACTTTCACAACGAAACACAGCGCCTTCACGACATGGCGGCGGCAACAATACTACAGCGAGAATAAAAGTTACGCCTTCTTTCTTTGCGTGAACATTTGGGCGGCGTTATGCAAATCTTCCCACACAGTGACGTAGACATGGGGCGTGTTAGAACGAGCCGTTTTAGGTAGGCGTGGCTGACTCTTAACTTTTATAAAGAATATCTCTTTGGATTTGAGACTTTAGTCTTTGCAACTTTACAGATCTTCTTTATGCACCAAGAGCTTGTAACACTCCAAAGAGAAAGAAAAAATCATCATATGACCCCTTTAATTAATACCAGTTCCAGCACAAAATAAACATGACTAAACATCCAAAGGTAAGTTAAAAGAAAGAGTAGAACTTTACAATCCGTATTCTGCCTCATGTAATCTCTCAGTCAGTGTTTCAGCCTCGTAAAGACGTCAATATAACGGCTTGTAAACAATGTCACGTAACGTCACATTTACCTCAGAAACAAACATATTCGTGGTGTGACCATTAATCAAACTCCTTAATCAGCTAGAAAAATAAACTGTATAAAGAATATCTCTTTGGATTTGAGGCTTTAGTCTTTGCAACTTTACAGATCTTCTTTATGCACCAAGAGCTTGTAACACTCCAAAGAGAAAGAAAAAATCATCATATGACCCCTTTAATTAATACCAGTTCCAGCACAAAATAAACATGACTAAACATCCAAAGGTAAGTTAAAAGAAAGAGTAGAACTTTACAATCCGTATTCTGCCTCATGTAATCTCTCAGTCAGTGTTTCAGCCTCGTAAAGACGTCAATATAACGGCTTGTAAACAATGTCACGTAACGTCACATTTACCTCAGAAACAAACATATTCGTGGTGTGACCATTAATCAAACTCCTTAATCAGCTAGAAAAATAAACTGTAGAAAGGGGCATTTTGTTAAATATATGCAACATATAACATTCATTATAATTGTTTACTGTTCTTCAATGTTTCATTTGTGTTTGAATAAATCCATCAAGTTTTTATGACAGCCACCATTTAAATGTTTATATCCTATTTCAAAAAAATGAACTGAAGTAGAAATATTATGTAATTGTAACGTTATTATTTTAAAAACTAATTTTAGCAGTTGTATAGCCTACAAATCAGTCAATTTTAACCTTCAATATTATAGTAATGTAGTACCAACTGACTCTCATGGATATTATACAGCATTAGTTGAGATTTTTTTTCCTTGAGAAAATGTGGCATGTACTGTACCTGATATATATCCAAAATAATCTATATTGAATACAATCGAATCGAATTGGTAATTGAATCGAATCGCAAGCTTGTGAATGAGAATCGAATCGTGAAATTTTGTCAAAACCCAGCCCTAAAATTAAATGTTCAATTAGTACATGAATTATTGTTCTTATCTGTCGTATCTATAGGCTATTATGGGGTTAAACAGATCGCTGTTGATCCGTTATATGTACAGACCAGGCACCACAGTTCAACATGCATGTGATTCGCAGATTTATTTGCCAGTTTACGCATTCAAGCGATTTCAAACCACAAGAAGAAGAAGAAAACTACAGAGAGAACTCGATTTGGTTACTCACACGCTGTTTTCCAAATGTTTATATCCTATTTCAAAAAAATGAACTGAAGTAGAATCGCAAGCTTGTGAAATTTGTGTCAAAACCCAGCCCTATTTAACTTATAAATATTGTAAATTTGTCTAAATATTTAAGTAAAATAAAATATTTTTAGTCTGTAGTAAATATTAGCTTTATATACAACATTAAATTGTATGTAATAAATTAATGATGTATTTATTTAAAATGAATACATTTAATAATATATAAAAAGGTCATTGTAATAGACTAGAAATATGAAAATTTTCATGCAAGAATTTTTATTGATTTATTTCCTATTAAAATAAACAGAATGTAGTGTTTAATTAAATATTAAATTTTATTTAATACATAAATATTATATTTATTTAATTTCAAGCTCGTGAAATTTGTGTCAAAACCCAGCCCTATTTAACTTATAAATATTGTAAATTAGTCTAAATATTTAAGTAAAATAAAATATTTTTAGTCTGTAGTAAATATTAGCTTTATATACAACATTAAATTGTATGTAATAAATTAATGATGTATTTATTTAAAATGAATACATTTAATAATATATAAAAAGGGCATTGTAATAGACTAGAAATATGAAAATTTTCATGCAAGAATTTTTATTGATTTATTTCCTATTAAAATAAACAGAATGTAGTGTTTAATTAAATATTAAATTTTATTTAATACATAAATATTATATTTATTTAATTTTTTAGCCTATAGTAATTATTATTAACTTATAAATGTATATTCGTTATATAATAAATGTTTAATTTTGAAGCGATATAATCAAATGTATACATTTTTTGAGAGCGTTTTTTTTTATCTATCAAATAATCACATTAAATTTCTTGGCACAAAACTAAAGCATTTTGTTTCACAAAGTCATTAATAAATTAAATACAACCTGAATATATTACAAACGATTTATCAGTGTTTTTATCTGCGTTTGTGTGTGTGTTTCAGTTTGACCGCTAATCTTCTTCACGATGAGGGAGTGACGGCCATCGCTGAAGCCATGAGGGTCAACAGAGCCATCACCTCCTTACAGTGAGAAAACACACATAATCTCAATAATATACACTCCTGAAGCCATCCAAAACATCAACACAAAACACACATATTCATACACTTAGAAATGAACCTACAAATACATTAAGACAAAAGAGATGAGCTAATGAGAACCTTAAAGATGACTCTTGGTCAGGTAATGAAATCATCAAGGTCAGGGTGTGATATCATGCTATCTATCTCACTGACGTAATGTGAAAGTGTTGCTTTTAGAAATCCGTTTCACATGTAAATGACTAATATATTCCTGTGTGTGTATTGCAGTCTCCAGTGGAACTTCATAAAGGCTGGAGCCGCTAAAGCTTTAGCTCAGTCTCTCATGAGCAACACCTGCATTCAGCTGCTGGAGTAAGAACTTCTACATCCTCCTGCATCAAACTCTATCAGTCATCTCCTGTGCAAAATCATCTCCACAGATCACCGACATTTTGTTGTTTTCTCATTGACACCATGTTTTTAAGAATAAAAAGATTCTTCAATGCTGCTTTGAAGCATTTTAGGACCATAAGAGCTTACACTCTTAAAAATAAAGGTTCCAAAAGGGTTTTTTACAGTGATGCCATAGAAGAACTATTGTGGGTTCCTCAAAAAACTTTCAGTGAACAGTTTTTTTTTTAAATTTTAAGTCTATAGAACCTTTTATGGAATGGAAAGATTCCATGGATGTTAAAGGTTCTTCATGGAACCAATAATTCCAATAAAGAACCTTTATTTTTAAGAGTGTTCTTTATTGGCATTTAACATGCTGGTTTTTTTTATAGTGGAAATGTTCTTAACACTAAGAAAAAATTGTTCCAGTAAGAACTGTTCACTGAAAGATTCTTTGAGGAATCAAACATGGTTCATTACTGTGAAACCACCCTTTTGGAACCTTTATTTTCAAGAATGTACAGGTTCTTCAGATCCATGTTTTGGGTTTTTTGGAAAGCGCTACAGCATAGAAGGTGTACTGCAGAATGAAATGCTCTCTAATGCATTAGACTGAAAAAGTGTTTTTAAAAAGTGCATGTCTCATTGTTAAATATATATTGTCATCTAGTGATATCTATATGATGAATGATGAGCTGTTGTGTGCTTCTCTGTCAGTCTGCAGGAGAACGCTCTGGGTGATAACGGCGTCATTGCTCTGGCCTGTGCTCTGAGGTCAAACTCTTCTCTCAGTGTGCTCTAGTGAGACTCAATTCAGTTTTCTGCATTATTTCATAACTGTTTGCTAAAGTTGATTGTGTCTGATCTTGCATGTGTGTGTTGTGAAGTCTTCAGGGTGTATCAGCAGGTAAATCAGGGGCCGTTGCGCTAGCGGATGCTCTGGTGGTCAACGAAAGCCTTCATACACTAGAGTAAGTCTCTTCTGCTCACCCAGCCTGCATTTATTTAGACAACAGAAAAAAAATTTTTTTTTACAGTTTTCTATTAGAAAATATTTTAAAAAGTAGTTTATTCTTGTGATGCAAAGCTGAATTTTCAGCATCATTACTCCAGTCTTCAGTGTCACATGATCCTTCAGAAATCATTCCTTATTATTATTATCAATATTGAAAACGGTTGTGCTGCTTCATATTTTCATGGAAACCATGATGCATCTATTTTCCATGATTTTTTTGATGAAGAAAAAGTTCAAAAGAACAGCATTTATTTGAAATAGAAATCTCTTGTAACATTATAAATGTCTTTACCGTCACTTTGGATCAATTTAATGCATCTTCTATAAAATAACATTAATTGCTTTCAAAAAAACTAAATTCTCACTGACCCCAAGCCTCTGAACAGAAAAATAATTTTTGCATACAACTAGGAAAAAAAGAAACAATTTTTAATTGACACAGTGTATGATAAACTCGCTTTAAAAACTCATATATTACTCGATATTTATCATTTTTGTTTAGTCTGCGTGGAAACTCCATTGGGATGGAAGGAGCGAAGGCGTTTTCCAGTGCTCTGAAGAAAAACAGGAGCTTGAGAAGTCTGAAGTATGTCTACAGAACACATTATTCTCCTATATAATCATATACTCTGATCAAAACATAATTGAGAGATGTTATTAAAGCCGTTTCATCACAAAATGGATGTGAGCTTTGCAGAAATGTGGCTGGAATCCAGTAAATACATTTTGAACATTTGCAAAATGTATGTATAAAAAAAAAATACAATAACTATTTTCTATGTGAATATATTTTAAATTGTTATTTATTGCTGTGATCAAAGCTGAATTTTCAGCATCATTACTCCAGTCTTCAGTGTCACGTGATCTTCAGAAATCATTCTAATATGCTGATTTGCTGCTCAAGCAACATTTCTGATTATTATCAATGTTGAAAACAGCTGTGCTGTTAATATTTTTGTGGAAACAGTCATAAAATTTTTTTCAGGATTCAGTTTCTAAAAGAATTTCCGTGCTCAAAACAGAACATGAATGTTAAAACTGTGTATCTGTAGTCTACAGGAGAATTCTCTGGGGATGGATGGAGCGATCTTCATCGCTACTGCGCTGAGAGGAAACCATCAGCTCACCTACATCAAGTCAGTGTGTGTGTGTGTGTGTGTGTGTGGGTCTATGTGTGAACCGCCGCCTGTGTGTGAGAGGTTCAACCACAGTGTGTCACGGTTGCATGGCACGTGGTGAATGTTTAGCACTGGCTGTGGGTGTGATTCTGAACACTGATCATTTCCATTTTGCTGTGAATGGCACATTTCACCTCCGCTTGATTGATCCTCCCGAGTAAGATTCTGTGATGTGTGTCATGATTTCCTATTTCTGCTTCAGTCTCCAGGGTAACGGCATCGGGGAGTCAGGGGCAAAGGTCGTCTCAGATGCCATCAAAGCTGGTGCACCAGATTGTGTGGTGGATATCTAGCACACGCACAAACTCGCCACAACATGTTTATTTAGAGCCTTATTCGTGTAAATATTTCCAAAGTTTATGTATTAAAGTTGTGTAATAATAAATGCTTATTTTATAAAACAGAACTGACAAAGATGTTGCCTTAATAAAACACATCATACAAAAATTTTGCTGAACTTTCATTCAGATGAATTCAAATAACTGAGAATGTTAACGGCAATTAAACAGGCGTCTACACTTGAATACAGATGAGAAGCTATATTCATACATACTGGAAATTACATTTAGTTATTTACAGATATTTATCTTGTTTCCGTGTCATGAAAAAAACATTTAATGTGAATTGTCACATTCAGGTCGATGCAGCAATTTACATAAGAATTGAAGTCTATTAACCTTTTTTTTGAAAGCAAATGCATGACTATTTAAAGGAAGAGTTCACCCAAAATTTAAACGTTTTGAAAATTTACTCACTCTTAAGCCATCCAAGATATAGATGAGTTTGTTCGGAACAGATTTGGAGCGATTCATTTCCTCAGCAATGGATCCTCTGCAGTGAATGTGTGCCGTCAGAATGAGTGTCCAAACAGCTGATAAAAACATCACAATAATACACATGTAATCCACACATCACTCCACTCCATCAATTGTCTTGTAAAGCAAAAAAAACTACATGTTTGTAAGAAACGAATCCATCATTAAGGTGTTTTAACTTTGAACCGGTTAAAATACGAGTGTTGTGGATTACTTGTGGATGTTTTTATCAGCTGTTTGGACTCTCATTCTGACGGCACCCATTCACTGCACAGGATCCACTGTTGAGCAAGTGATGTAAGCTAAATTTCTCCACATCTCTTCCCATGAAGAAACAAACTCAACTACATCTTGAATGGCCTGAGGGTGAATAAATGATCCAACAAATGTAAATTTTTGGGTGAACTATTCCTTTAATGCATGCTGGTTGCACATTAAAAATCATTATCGCTCTCCTCAAGGATTTGTGGGTGCAGCGATCGTTTTGAGCGTCCAGGTTTGGTGGAGGAGCCCTCCAGACTGTCATTGTCTTCATCCAGGTCCTCGTTTTCCTCCTCATCTTCATCTTCCTCACCATCTTCATCATCATCGTCTACGTCGATCTCACTATCCTCTGACTGCAAAGCAAAGCACATTGTGAATTATAGCAGAAGACACACACAGCACTTGGTGGAGGGTAACGGAAACGGGGCTCAATCAATATCCCTAATTAAGAATTATCTAAATTAATTCTAGAACCACCAGGTGTTCACATTTAGACACACGCACGTCAGTGTTATTGTCAACTAAAGCTAAAGCTTTTAAAATAGTTTTTCATAATTGGAGAAAAAAGCTGAATAAAAGAAAATATAAAAATGTAAATTTAGAATTAGAAATGTTGCCTTGGCAACTAATTGAAATAAAATAAGTAAATACTAAAATTAATAATAATAAAGCTAAACTGAAATATAAAAAAAATAATAAAAAATTACACACAAAAAAGCTAATAAGATAAAAGCTAATAAAAAAATGTTTAAAAAACACTATAATAGCATAATAATACTAAAATAACACTGACACACAGACCACCTTTCTTCTCTTTTTCTTCCGGCCGCTGCCGGATAGATGGACTCGTTCCTTTACTCTGGGCTTGAAGAACGAGAGCCGAGGAAGAGAAAGAGATGGAGTGAAAACGGAGTGAATGAAATGAGAGTGGGTGGCATATATAGTGAGAAAAGAAAATGAAAGCACAATGACTAGACAAGTTATGCAAGATCATGGAAGAAAAAACATGAAAATGTGAAGAAAGAAAGCCTAGGAAACCATGTTTGGCTGAATAATTTGAAAACTCTGAAGAATATAACAAGAAATTAAGAAAATATGTTGGTTCAGTGTTGTTAACTAAAACTATTAAAAATAATTTAAATAAAACAAAAATGAGAAATGCTGCCTTGGCAACTAACTGAAAGTAAGTTTCAACTGAAGTACTAAAATGACTAAAAACGAGTGAAAAATAAATTAAAACATAAATATATATATATACACACACACACACACACACACACAGACACAGACAGTGGTCCCCGAAATTATTAGAACACTAGTATTTTCATCTGCTAAAAAATGTTTTTTAGTCAGCTATTTCTATCTTTTGCTGTAGTGTGTCAGTAGGAAATATCAGGTTTTTAGTCAGTTCTTTCTATCTTTTGCTGTAGTGTGTCAGTAGGAAATATCAGTTTACATTTTCAAACATTTATCTTGCCATTAATCATAATAATCCAGTGAGATTTCTGTCTGACAACAGCCAGTGCTCCACACAGAGATCTGATCATCATCCAGTCTGTCTGGAATGACATGAAGAAACACAACAAACCGAGACAGACTCAATCCAGAAGAACTGTGGCAATGTCTCCAAGATGCTTCAAGAAACTTTCCTGCAAAACTGCAGTACTGTGAAAAGTTTTAGGCACTTGCGTAAAAATGCTGTAAAAAGAGAATGCTGTCAAAAATAATGTTATAAGTAGATTTTCTTAATTAATTTCTATTAACTAAATTAAATCAACATTTAGTGTGAGCATCCTTTGCATTTAAAAAATCTCACTGGTAAAATGAATGTTTGGCAATGTAAACTGATATTTCCTACTGACACACTACAGCAAAAGATAGAAATAACTGACTTCAAACCCTTTTTAAGCTGGTGAAAATACTAGTGTTCTAATCATTTTGGCCACCACTGCATGCATATATGTATGTATCATAGCAACAAAAACGCAAAAACAACGTTTCAAAAAATTTATATAAAATTAAAATGAAAATATAAAAATAAAGTTATATATAAAAGAAAGTGTGTTTTCACCTCTTCACTGTCTCCTCCCCTCATACTGCCAATGAATCGAGCGCCACCTCGACCTGCAGCGGAAACACATCAGAAACACAAATCAAGTACAATCAGACACTCGTATGTGTCACGTGTGTGAGCGAGGCTGCAGATATTGAGGGGCTACATGCTGAACACCTGATATCTGTGCGTGTCGTGCGTGGTGTGGTCTGGACTGCTGTCCGTCGTCTATGTCACTGTCAGAGCCTTCATCCTCTGGTATGTCCACATCTGAGTCTTCATCTCTGGCTACAGAGGAGGAGAAATCATGAGATCCTTGACAAACATGTTCAAATGGGTGTGTTTGAGAGTGTGTGACCAACCTCCACTCCTCATGAGCCTCTTCTCCTCCTCTTTTAATTTGTTTTGTCTCATTTTCATTGCCATCTCTGCTTCCTGGAGGATTAACAAGGGAAGCATCAGGATAGGCTTTATAAAGTTAATTTGGGTGAAATTGATAGGTTTCACTTGTTGTCTTTGTTATTTTTAGCTGGATAAATGAATGATGTGATTTATATACACGAGTACCAGAGAGAAGTTGAGATGCATCTGCACTGATTGTACCTCGAAGCGTTCTTGTTCAGCTCTGTGATAGTCATCTAGCTGCCGCTCCAGGAAGCTCAAGTTACGAAATTTCTCCACGTACGTCTGGTAGTGTTTCTGCAAGTCCTCCTCGATCTTCTCATATTCATCCATAAAGGCTGGACTACATAATGAAACAGAGTCAGAGATGTCAGTGTCTAAATGGTCTGTGCATTATTTCTAACTTTTTTAGTTTTTAACATTTCTAACATTATTTCCTAACCCTAACCCTAACCCTAACCATTTGCATCTAAAGCCAAAAGTAAAACTAAAGCCATAAAAAACATGAAATAAAATAAACATTAACATATATGCAATAATATATATCAAGTTGAAGTACTAAAATAACTCAAACTAAATAAACTTAATAAAAAGTATATCAAATATTTTAAAGAAATATTTAAAATAAAAACACAACAAAATTCCTAAAATTAAAATGAAACCAGAAGAATATAAAAATGTTAATCTATTTCAATATTTTAACTAAATCTATAATAGTATTTCAATCATTTTAGCTCACCGCACACTCTGTAGAGTTTGTAAGCGTTTCTGGTTTCTCTCCAGGTCTTGTTTCTTCTTCTCGATTTTGGCCTCCAGACTGGCTTCATCTGATGCTACGTTATTGAGCAGATCTTTTGTCATTTGGATGCTCTCCTGAACACAGACGAGCAAACACATTCAGACGCCATTCAGAGCCCAAAATAACATCACAATTCTCCAAAGACGTCCCTCCATCTCCTGTTCTTTTGCTTGGTAAATATTTCAAGCACGCTGCTCGCTGAATGCACTAAAATCATACTTTTCAAGAACTGACCTGAAACAGAATGCAACTTTAAGTTCTTGTAGCCCTCTAGAGACTTTCATAACAAACTTTCAAGAACATTTATGCAACATTTAGGGATGAATTTCCTCAGGTTATTTCTCAGTACAGGCAGTTCTTTCAGTTTTAGAATACTGAAGCAGTGGTTCTCAACCAGGGAGCCTCAAGGTGAGTTATGAATAAGACAAAACAAGCATTAAAATCAGCTAAAAGATCAAAATCAAGAGAACTAAACTGAAATCATATTTCTTATTTAATGAATTCCCTCAACAACTGCGAACATGGAACAATACATTTATTAATCTGTGTTAATGTTAGTTAATAAAAAGACAATCGTTCAGTGTTTGTTCATGTTTTGTTGCTGTGACGTGACATAGCGGTGTCTGACTAGGGGCGAGGTTGACTAAGTGAGGATTTGTGTTTTACCGTGACATCTTGGACAGCCGCTCTCAGAGCTCTCTCTGTCTCAGTGATCTCCAGCGGTCGGGCTATCGCAGCCGTCCTGCTCTCTCTCAGGTCCTCTTCGTGCCCCAGCAGGTCATTTTGCTTGGTAAATATTTCAAGCACGCTGCTCGCTGAATGCACTAAAATCATACTTTTCAAGAACTGCCCTGAAACAGAATGCAACTTTAAGTTCTTGTAGCCCTCTAGAGACTTTCATAAACTTTCAAGAATATTTATGCAACATTTAGGGATGAATTTCCTCAGGTTATTTCTCAGTACAGGCAGTTCTTTCAGTTTTAGAATACTGAAGCAGTGGTTCTCAACCAGGGAGCCTCAAGGTGAGTTATGAATAAGACAAAACAAGCATTAAAATCAGCTAAAAGATCAAAATCAAGAGAACTAAACTGAAATCATATTTCTTATTTAATGAATGCCCTCAACAACTGCGAACATGGAACAATACATTTATTAATCTGTGTTAATGTTAGTTAATAAAAAGACAATCGTTCAGTGTTTGTTCATGTTTTGTTGCTGTGACGTGACGTAGCGGTGTCTGACTAGGGGCGAGGTTGACTAAGTGAGGATTTGTGTTTTACCGTGACATCTTGGACAGCCGCTCTCAGAGCTCTCTCTGTCTCAGTGATCTCCAGCGGTCGGGCTATCGCAGCCGTCCTGCTCTCTCTCAGGTCCTCTTCGTGCCCCAGCAGGTCAAACAGAGCTGCCCCCTTTGCTGTAATTTCAGATCCCA